CTCTAAAATGCAACATTCGAAACATCTCCTCAGTCGAAAATGCAACATTTGAAATGATGTCTCTATAATGCAACATTTGAAACATCTCCTTGGTCGAAAATGCAACATTTGAAGTAATGCCTCCAAAATGTAACATTTGAAATGTTCTTCTCTGTCGAAAATGCAACATTTGAAATATTGTCTCTAAATTGAAACATTCAAAACATCTCCTCAGTCAAAAATGCAACATTTGAAATGATGCCTCTAAAATGCAACATTTGAAACATCTCCTCAGTCGAAAATGCGACATTTGAAATGATGGCTTTAAAGTGCAACATTTGAAACATCTCCTCATTTAAAAATGCAACATTTGAAATTGTGTCTCTAAAATGCAACATTTGAAACATCTCCTCAGTCAAAAATGCAACATTTGAAATAATGCCTCGAAAATGCAACATTTGAAACATTGTTCCTCCTCAGTTGAATCATATTAGCAGCATTTTGAACATAGATGTAGGACTAGAGACTTGATGCAAGACTAACTATTCCATAGTGCAGTTCCATTTGAATAACCCCCCCCCCCTCCTGTCCCTGCATGGTCATTGGATGCACTCCTACAAAGGATAACGTGTCTTCTAACATTAACACATTGTTGAAGTTATAATAATGCATGTTGATTGTATTAATTACTAAAAACTTCTAGCATATTGTTCTCCCAAACAAAGTTCAGTAGGATTAAGAAGCTGTATATTCATGTCTGTCTATTATTTTGTTCGTCCGTCGAATACAAGTTGCGGACTTGATTCCAAATTTTTTGCTGGTACCTTTTGGGCATGATTTTCTCTGCTCAAGAGGAAAATTTCAAATTGATAATTTCAGTATTTTAGAATTTTCCAAAATGCTATGAATAAGATAGTTGGTCATGCATATTGAAGAAAGGATCACAGGGTATGGGGTTAGAGATTTGTGGGATGAAGTGACTCATTCATTTGATTCTATTTCATTTATTAATATCGCAGCAGACTTGGTCATCGAGTCATAGTAATAATCGTTTGTTTTTCTGTTTCTACATTCTACACTTTCACTCATTGGCGATTCAATGCATATCAAAATTATTCAATGCATATCAAAATTATTCCATGTATTTCAAAATTATTCCATGCATTTCAAAATTATTCCATGCATACCAGAATGACTCCATGTATGTCAAAATAAATGTTCTGTTGTGTTGGCTAATGATATGGTTTCTGTGTTTTATAATGGAACATTTATTCAAATATTGATCAGGAAATTTTTTTTTTCTGAGGGTGACAATAATTTCATTTTCTGCAGTTTAGATAAAACCAGTAATTGATTCAACGCGAAAGAGCATTAACAGTATTTAATGTTTTCTGGCTCTGTAACTATGGCAAAGTAATCAGACACTTGGATCTTCTAAGTCAATTAATGACACATCTTATTGTGGCTATAGGTGAACATAGTATACCATATTGGTGAAAAAATTGATTGAGCGTATTTTTGTGCAGAATTGGAATATTTTTATGTCAACTTGGTATGGTATTGATGTATAGACCACAAGGTTAGATCTTTGCTTTTTTGACAAGATATTTTTTGTTGGTTCTGATTCTGAAACTTTTGATATAAATTTATTTTCGGACTGCATTTTTTCTCTGGACTGTCAGGCCCGTAGCCAGGATTTGCCAAGGGGGGTTCAGTTTTCCAGGGGGGTTCACATTTGACAATTTTGGCCCAAATATGGCTGCAACCCCCCCCCCCCCCCTAGCTACGGGCCTGACTGTGTCACCTATAGTTACTTTGAATATGTAAGCTAAATGTTCCAGCATGTACAAAAGAACCCCTAAAACTAACAACTTACTATACTTACTACTAGTGTATATAAAATCCATTAGAGGAATTGTATTTTGGAGGGAGGAAAGGGGTGCAATGGTGCATGTTCTTGTATCTTGAATATGGGAATTTAGTATATTGCATGGTCTGGCATAAATATAAGGAATTTATATAAATAATTTTGAACTTGAGATTCAGTCTGTGCGATGTTTTTTCTGTAGTCTAATATTATTTGTAGGCTATAAGTCTATATTTAAACTTGAACTTATAATCTTGATATTAATATGAAGCTAGAAAATCCTATCATGTATTGAATTGAGTTCTAAAGAAGCCAAGGGAATAATGTGTGATTGCATGTTTTGATATAAGAACAGAATTATGTCTGCTAGTTAAATGTTCTGATTCAGCTGTTATCTAGCTACTACCTTGGTTGTACAGAGTTTTTTAGGGTTCTGTAGTGTTTTTGCTAATGTTGCCCATTGTGTTATAATCTCAGATATGTTGCTCTTGAATTAAAAAACTGAAAATAAATGTTAAGATCGACTGCTAACCTGAGCTACATGGTGCCGCATCTCTTTCCTATATTAACCATAAAAGACCTTTATTGAAATAGGGAATTCTTTTAATCAATCTTAACTCTATTAAGCTGAAAACAAATAGTTTATAGATCTGACAAAATGGTGAATTGTCAGTTTCTTCTATCGATCTTGGCGAGGCATTTATAAACTTGTAATTTTTGTTAAATGCCAAATCTTGCTGGATAGTTATTATAAATAAGTAACTCTGGTTATATGATATTATGAAATGTTTTCACTTTGTAAAAACATCAAGCCTAATGGATGGTAGCAATTATAGATACTGATCATCTTGCACATTCTTTCCAGGGCTGCATATAGACGAACCAACACAATATGGCACACATGGCGTGAACCTTGACTTTCACATGCATCTAATATACAAATCTTTAAGCCTTAAAATACATTCCTAAGAAATGTTTGCCTTGATTTTTGAACTCAGAACTCAGAGAACCAGAGATCTTATATAAGTCAATTTTAGCTCATTATAATTTTGTACATTTTTAGGTTTAAATTGTTGTCATAGTTATTTAACATCGATGCTAAACATAATTTTTTCGTACATAAACAGTGAAATCTGTTAAGTGGAACACCTGAACACCTCTATAAGTAGAACACTTTAAAGTCCTGGTACCTATTAAATTGACATATAATGAACATCTGTAAGTCAAACACCTGCCTAGTAGAACACTGTTCTGAGGTATCAAAGGTGTTCTACTTATACAGGTTTTACTGAAGTTTCATTTATAGCCTTGAGTACATAATTTTATTTTGTAGAAGTGCTATGTCAATGACAGTAATTTGTTTATTTCATCAAAATGAATGCCAGTATTCAACAATTGAATTCCAGTATTCAACAATGAATACCAGTATTCAACAATAAATGCCAATATTCAACAAATGAATGCCAATATTCAACAAATGAATTCTAGTATTCAACAACATTGAATGCCAATATTCAACAATTGAATGCCAATATTCAACAAATGAATTCCAGTATTCAAAAAATTGAATGCCAATATTCAACAAATGAATGCCAATATTCAACAAATGAATTCCAGTATTCAACAATAAATGCCAGTATTCCATACCATGTATCTATCTATATACTGCATCCCTTGAATTTGACCAATATCTACACATGCTCTGTTCATTCATTAAATCTCCTCAAAGAAGTCTATGTACTATACATGTTTGAGGATTATGTTTAAATAAATTATGCAGAAATTCAGTTAAAAAAGCTACACACTCACTCTTTCAGTTCAGAGAATGTGCTCATGATGGTCTTACTTCACAGACTCAAGAGAATGTAAATGAAGGCAGGCCCGTAGCCAGGGGGGGGGTGTTCGCAGGGTTCGGGCAACCCCCCCCTGGCCAAAAATTCTTTCAAAAGCATGCAGTTTTTCACCATTTTGAGCATTTCTCAATTGATTTTAGCCATAATTGGGCCAAAATTGTCAAATGTGAACCCCCCTGGAAATTTTGGAAAACTGAACCCCCCCTTGGCAAATCCTGGCTACAGGCCTGTGAAGGTCATCTTGAGTAGCAGTGCATCAGATTGATTTTGTAAAGGATAATTGAAAATATATTCCTGGAAGACAAAATTATTTGATTATGTCTGTGACTTGAGCTGTAATTGTAATGGCAGCCTACAAATGGTTGTATTTACTGGAAGTAAATGTGTCTTCTACATGGAACAGCATCATTACAATTTGTGAGAAATTTCCCATAGGAGTAAAAACACATTCTCATTTTTTACGTCCTTGATGTATATTTTCTATTGCTCCCTATAAGTACTTGTAGATACATTATATATTTCCTTAAAATGAACTTTTCATTCAGAGAGTGAACTTGTATTTTGCGCCCCATAGAGCAAAGTCGATGTCAAGTTATCTGCCCCTAATAAACTCTTTTTAATTGATTATTTTATGGTCGATATGTCTAGCACAGTACGAAAAATTAAAAGAATCATAATAAAGGCATTGTGTTTGAGAATGTTTTGATATTGAATTCTATTCAAAGTTTATTGGCCTAATTAATAAAAACTAAAAACTAAGATATCAAAATATCTTTGGCCTGGGATTGAGGACGATATTCCCAAATTGTGATACATGCTATCGTAAACATGTATTTGCAATAGATGTAACAGTACAGTACATTGTTTTATTTCTGCTTGGAGACATTTCTCTGAGCTAACCACTTTGAACAAAGGTCTAGTGACTTACTAATTAAATCCATATGGTTGCTTAAAATCGTTGCATATAGTAGTTGCACTTACTTCAGATTGTGTTTTATTGCACTCTGAAAAAGTACTTTAAATTGCCGATGTCTTGTTCTGATGGGCCCACGGATGTGCGGGCGAGCCACCACATGAATCAATTCAATTCAATTTTGTTATTATATTATCTTCATATTTATTTTGCAGATTTCTATTGAGTTTTCATATACAGTATTATATAATATTCACATGCTCGTAGGACTGCCAAAAATCGCTCCCTACTGAAGATAAACGTTCCAAACGCCCCCCCCCCTCTTATTATTGAACAAGGTTCCCTATGTTTAGCTAACATTGAACATGTGTATCCTGTCTACTTGCAGTTACCATTCCACCTGTGATAACAATCCAGCCGCCCCAGGAGCTTGGCTTCAAACCTAAAGGAAGAGTTGACCTTGAATGTGTGGCTAGTGGGATCCCTGCCCCCAGGTAAGTTGTTTCATGTGCTGAATGTGGCATTCCCCACAATGTCATCATCTTGTACTGCTGTGTAGGTGGGAATGTCCCACATAAATCTTACTGCTGTGAAGGTGGGAATGTCCCACATAAATCTTGTCATCAAAATTTCAAGGAAAACTGCTTTTATCCATTCAACTTAAAATTTTTACAGATGCAAGAGCAGACCTATAATGGCAAGATAAGATTTTGGCAGATTGGGTAAATTATATGACTGGCCATTTTGCTCTTTAAGTGTGTGTCTTGATCAATTTTTATGTCAACTCCACAAGTGGTAACATTGTTATAGTCTCCAACTTTTTTTGTGGATGGTGGTTGGTGTTCAGAGTTTGGCAGTTGGCATCTGTAACAAATGACAGGTGGTGACATTTTGCATGTTAATGCCTTGTATGGAATTGAAATATATTCTGCAATATGCAAAACAATGAAATGTGAGATAGATGGTACCCAGGTAGTGTCTGTCTAAAATTAGAAAAATTAAGATCTCTCGGTAGCCTGTCTAGTCTTGTTGACATATCATTTATTTAGAAGTAGCTACTGACATGTGGCCTATAGGAAACCCTATAGGCTCAATATCCACGACCCCAATGAACTAAATGGTGTCAAGTTCCAATTAAAGAAACAATATGCACTTATATTGCCTAGATTAATCATCTCTTATCTCCTCAATTGCTGTATAAAAAACAGATGGGAAATTGAAGAAAAATTGTTGGTCTTAAAAACCAGTATGTACACTTATTTGAAAAAACAGTGTGCACTGTAATTGGTAATAAACAGTGCGCTGTTCCAAGTCTGGACTTAATAGTCTTCATTGGGTGGTCAGTATGTCAGACCAGCCAGAATATCATGGTTTGGTTTGTAGATTTGTTATTCTTTGAGGTCATGCATTGCAATAGCCAAATCCTATTATCTCCTATAGAAGGAGAGATGCTCCCAGTCAATAGTCATTAAGTTCACCTATTCCATTCAGGCCGTGCTTGTTTTTTGTTTTTTTCCATTTCTCATTTATTCCATATATAATATATAAAAATACAATACAATATTATTGCCTACGTATTTCAACATTGTCGGCAATATACAAAACATGTCAAACTGGAAATACTGGAAATACAATAGATTTGGTCCGCAATATGGCCGTGCTTGTTAGGAGTTCCAAGTCTGTGATTAAGCCCTTCTAATCTAGCTCCTCCTCCATCCATCTATACATTTTTGCTCAAAGAATAGGGAGTACATACGAGTGGATGTCATTCAGCTCTTCTACCTTATATTCCGATTAGGTCATGCTTGTTAGAATATCATTAAACATTTTTCTCTCATTAGCCTTTTATTAACCCCCCTCCCCCATCCCCCTCTTTTACAAACACCCAACCCCTGCACTAGGAAGAGTGATATTAAGAAGGTTGACCAAAGACCATGCAAGACAGTCTTGTCCCATAAAATGCATCCTCCTAAGCAGGTATCCGGAATCTGTACCTCCTTCCCCCTGCTATAACCAATTTGGAAGCGCCCGATTTAACTGAATCATGTGATTTAATTATGCGCAATGACTTATACATGATTTCTGTCGCAGTGTTGCGACAGCCAATCAGATTGCCAGTTCTTAATCGGGGAAATGCTAACTGCTTATCGCAGGGGGTAAAAAGAAAGAACATATTCTGGATTTTGAAGCCCTGTGATCGGAGGATGCAAAAAATGTAACATAATTATAGTTCTGTCATATTTGTATGTTGGTGCATATTTGGTATGTTTCATTTTACTCACAGACTTCCCTCCTCTCATCTCTGTCATCCATCAGGTCACTATGACAAATACTACAATGTTGGTTTTTGGCAATTTACTATTCACTACAAAAAAAGATTTTTACAAAACGATTTTAAGCCCCATATATTCTTCTTCATAAGGTGTTGATGAAGAAAATGTATGTTAGTATATTAATCTCACCTTTGATAGTTTGTTTCTTATTGGCTCTCTACATTTGTGGGAAAATATAAATTCATGGGGTAAAACTGATATATTAAAAATGTAGTATTATGACCATTAGCCATGTCATGCAGCAACATCTGACTGGGGGCCTCATCAATTTCAGAAAATTGTTTTAGTAGACTACATGTAGTAGGAAAATTATTATGATATCATGGTAGAAAAGCGAGTCTGATAGTTCTTGTATTTTATTTTATTGGTAAAGGGCAAAGCAGTATAATTTTTTGTTAATAATGAATGATGGGAAATTGAATGTATTGAACAATCATGAAATAACAGGAAATGGGAAATGCTACATCCTAGTCGAAGTATTGGTTCAACTATGGTCTGAACCACTAGACCTTTTGGGAACTATAACCTTTTTACTCAAAAATGAAATTGTTTTCCTCCTATTAGAAAAAGAAACTATTTTTTCTAACCACTAACCAGCCATATTTTCTTCATTATCCAGACTCAGAATATGTCAGGCTTGTTCTCAATTTAAGTTCTCAGAATAATACCCTTTAATCTTTGACTTATTCCAGCTTAATGTTGTCTTCACTCTTTGAACTAAATATAATTCTTTGAGCATTTCTCTAATCAGTATATACTGTTTTAACGACATCAGTCATGTCATGATCATACATTTTTGGCCTACTACTTCCTTTTTTGATTTACATGAGATTTACATGATATTTGAGATTATTAAGATCGTATAAGCATCAAAAATATAAAATCCTCTGAGATTACCAGAGAGTAGTGTTGTTATTAGTGAATGAAGATTCAGGGTATTAGAATGATTTATTGCAAATCTTGCTCGGTTTGTCAGACTGAAACAGTAGAACTCATTAGTGTCATTTATGTTCAGGGTATGGTGACCTTAAAAGTTCAGCTCATTAGTGTCTGAAAGGTCAGTTTGACCTTAAAGGATCAACTGCAGACTCATTCTGATACTCATCAGCTACTTTGTTTATAACAGATTATATGTAATACCAAATGAAGTAATAGTAATCATCAATTTTCCAGACTAAGCATCTGGCTTTGTTCTCATAATAGATACCCATTTCTTAGAATACTGCCTTACTAGTAGCATATGAATTATTCGTATATCTCAGTTATGGGTATTTTATTGATCATTCTCTTACAAAGTCCTGCTCCATCCAGACATATGGTAGCCATTGATGTCCCCCTTACTTGCCTCTGGTTTATCCAATCCCTTCTTTTCATGCTCTCTCATCACCTCCTTTGGAACTTCCTCCAGTGTCTTCATGGACGGGGCCAATAATTCTCAACAAACTTAGGTCCCCCACAACAATGATAATGGTACTTGAGTAATTCTAAAGACATATGAAAAATAGCCAAGAAAAGATACAAGTTATGTATAAATATTTTCAATATTCATAGGTATGTGTGGAAGGTGAATGACACAGAGCTTCAGATAGGAACACGTTGGAACCGTGTTGACACTAACACAGGCTCCATCTATCTGGATGATGCCAGTGACCTTGATAAGGGTTCCTACCAGTGCTTTGTAGACAATGGACATGGGACTGCTATTAGCATTAAAACTCAACTGAAAGTTGCACGTAAGTGGAAAATTTAAAAGTCTCCATTATAAAACTATAGTAGATTCCTTTCATTATGTATCTTTGACAATATTGTACAAGACTATTGACTATTGTAATACATTTTTTATGTTTTTGATAAACACTCTTATATACTGTAAATCTAATGCGAGATAATTATAGTAAATAAATAAATAAAATAGATACATTTTATATAGCTTAATTCACAATGTTTGTGAGAAATACAACATTCCACAAACAACATCAAAATTAATCGAATCCTAGCTCATTGTTTAACTCATTGTGTCATACCTTGTTTAGCTTGTTTAGGAGGGTTTCTGATGATCCCAAAGAGGAATCGCCAAGGATATACATGTATAGACATATAAACACATTCATGAGGCAAATATTAATACAGGGGTATGATGTGTTATAAATGACCTGTAATATTAACTCATGAGCTCCATTGCTAGATTGTGTTTTGAATTTTGTCCAGATACAGGATACAGGATGTAGGACCTTATAATAGGGAGTTTAAGCTTGCATGTGAAATCGAAACACCAACCTATATGTATGACCAATCGCCCAAATGCATCGCTTAAATATTTTCTGTTCACGTTTAGGTTGTGAAAAACATTGCAAGCTTAAACTCCCTAATGTATGTTTATCTAATTTCAGAGCTGCTACCATTCCCAAATACTAACATACAACCTAAGAGACACAAGGTCAATGTCGGTGATAAATTGACCTTAAACTGCACCCCTCCTTACAGCTACCCCAAGGACCAGACCAATGTATTCTGGTCCTGGACAAAGGAAGGGTCCAGAGCCAGTGCGGGGATTATCCCCGTAGTTGCAACCCCCAGGGTTGGTTGGGATGAATCTGGTACGTTAAAACTAGCTTTAATGTCATAGAAATGATATAATAGAACTTATAAAATAAATGAGTTAGTTTAGAATTCATTTGATCTTCTGGTGAAATAAAAATCAAATGACTTAACTTCAACTTTAGCTGATATTGAGTCTGTGTATGCTCCTTCTATTATCTCTCATTGCAGGGATATAGATAGGCGGCTAATGCCTTGGTCACATTTGCTCCGATTTTCACTACGGCGCCCGGCCGATTGAGTATTTTGTTCAAAATTGAATACAATATTGAGCAAAACACTCAATCGGCCAGGCGCCGGCTGGTGAATCGGAGCAAATGAGACCCAGGCATTACCAGAGACTACTCCAACATTCAAATATACTGAAAGAAATAATGAATGTTTATATTAAATTGTATTGTGTTTTCTAATTAATGTTAAGAATTTTTCTTTGTTTTGTGGTAATAGGAGGTAAGCAATGCTCACGGCACTGGGCTAATATCAACATGCAACTACTGGACATGTAACGCCCGGGCATTGCCATCACATTTTCTAATCTTGTTGTTTAGGGGCAGTTGGTTTTAGTCAATATAGATGGGGCTTCAGTAGCAATTACACTATATGCTTAGGCTGGTTACTGTACTGTATATGTACTATATATGTACTACATTTCTAGTTTTACTTTTATTTCATTATTACGTTAAAAGAAAATCCTCTTTTATGTTATTTTTACAAATCATACAATTTCTGATTATTGTAAATCTATACCTACTACTCTATCCTACCTTGTCAAATTACTTGAATGTGTGAAGTGGCAATTTTAGATTTAAAAATCTATTTTTATTATTATTATCTGGTGTTTTGCATGAATATGTGCATGCATGTCAGGCTTTTACACTTTGCTGGTATGGTTCAGATGGTTTAAATCACAAATAGCATCATTTCACTGAATCACCGTATCACCTGCATCAAGGCAAACACGAGCTTGCCACCAACACCAGGGACCCCTAACCATGTCATTACGCCATTTCTCATTATTTTATATTCATGACGTGATATTATTACATACTAGATTTTTATATTGTTGATTCCCTTCGTTCGTTCGTGTTTCTGCTTTTGGTGTGATCCAGCGCCTCCCAACTCTGAATATTCTCTTCTTCATCAATTTTATTGTTTTTGTTTCCTGATTCAACGTCTTACTTTCGTTCTCATCATTTTTAGGTGTTCAACATTAATTCAAGAACGGACCATTCAATAGAGTGATTAAACTATAATATTTTATTTTTACTTCAGTGTATTTCGGTTTCTTCTATGGTTGGAAAAATGTTGTAAATAAATCCTATGGCTTCTCTTGCCGTTGCATGAAGAATTACCTTTCTCCTTGTACTGGTGTATGAATCTTTTAATTAAGAAAACTCCCTTAGTGTTAAAGTAATAGATTCTGATTTGAAATAGTCAATAATTCATTAGACTTTCTTTTAATTGTTCTATTGCTGATGAAATGTTGTATATTACACTATGATTAGAAATATTTGTCCATATGAAAGTAATAATGGTGCTGTATTTTGAGGTTTTGTGATTTTCTGCACATCAACATTTTCATTCTTCAGATTTGGTGCCAACATTGGATTGTTACGGATTGCAGTTACACTTCATTCATTAATCATATTTCTATATTGTGATTCGATATTTTACTATTTAGTTCCAACCATTAAATCATTCAGTATCCAACATATTTGTCATCAGATTTTAAGAGAATACAACCATTTGGAATACAACCATTTGGTGATTCAAAATTCCATCATCTACCTAGTAAAGAAATGAACAACCATTTTGTCACAGGGTTCTATCATTTAGTTATCCAGTGTCCAATCATTTATTTAGTTAGTAGTAGGTAGTTATCCATTCAGCCATTTAACTTTTAGGGTTCAGGTGTTCAACCTTTTAGGCTTCGAGTTTTCAACCATTTAGATTATAGAAATCTCATTTCAAAGGGCAACATATTGAAATCTTCATCCTTTGGCTTTGTTGCCCACTGAAATGTGGTTAAAATTTTTATCACCACCTTTTGAATGCTTAGTACAAACTCAGATAATGACTAACTATGGCTTACCAATATTGCTCAAGTCAATATCGTGAAATATAAGGATTCTAAACTAGTTCTGATACCCCGAGAACAGGCCTCTCAAGGTGCTAATAATAGTGATTTACCCACCTACAAATCATCCAACCACCTACAAACCATTCAACCACCTACAAATCAATCCAACCACGTTCAAATCATCCAACCACCTTCAAATCATCCAACCACCTCCAAATCATTCAACCACCAAAAATCATTCAACCACCTCCAATCATTTTCATTCATATGCCATATCACACTAAATGCCCTGCTTTTTACTTCTAATGGCTGGCATTGTTCATTTGCTTTTTCCAGGTAACCTCCATTTTGCTAACATAATAGAAAAAGATCTCTTAAAGTACTCCTGCACTGTGAAAAATAGCGATGTTAGATCTTATATACAAGGAGAGGATTCCATAATTGAACCAAAGAAAGGTCAGTTGAATTTATTCATTTTTCTATATTCATAAAGCAATACATGACTCCTTCGTTGCAGGTCAACTTCACTTTGCTAATATCTTAGCAGAGGATGGAGTGAACAAATATGCTTGTACCTCACAGAATACTGTAGTCGGGATGTTTGTCCAAGATGGAATAACACGTATAGTTGCAGAGCCAGGTAATCCGTTAGCTACCTGGCGTTATCTACCATTATCTTGGGGTGCTTGTTTAATATGTGTGTGTGCACGTCATATCATATCAACAAGCCCTAAACTTGAGGGTTGCTTGTGCAATATATGTGTATGTATGTCAAATCCTGACATCATCAACTGTATGTCAAATCATGGCGTCATCTGCTGGGATTGCTTGTACAATGTGTGTATGTATGTCATATGATGTCATCATCTGGAGGTGCATCTATGATATGACATTGATGTCATATGATGTCATCAACTGGGGGTGCTTCTTTACATGTATGTAAATCACAGCTGGGGGTAGAGGTTAGTCGGTTATGGGACTGCATATATGTTCGGAAATATCTAGGAGTAGAATGGATTCTTCATAGTTCATTTAGGGTTTGCTTCTAAAACACAGTTTCCATTTAACATCACTATGTTCAAGGTAGTCATTTATTGGTTTTGTTAAATGTGTTTATGATAAGTATTTGTTCTATTTCTTTTTTGAGAAACCTACATTAAATACGAAAAAAGTGAGCTAGCTTTACTAAATTGATATACATATACATGCGGTCATTGAACATGTAATTTGTCAACAACAAAAAACAATGCATTTGATCAGGGAGTTCTGCGCTTGAATTGGGGAAAGGGGATTTTGATTTTAAAATGTTGTGGCAATCTTGATGGGACTTCTTGCTTAGCAGAATATGTGCACCATGCAGAATTTGCCTTTTCACTTTTATAATTCTTATTTTTACTTGCAGAATAATTAAATCTATCTTGCTATGAAATTGGGGATGAGGGAAACTGTAGTGTGGAAAAACAAAAGTTTATTTCATTAAGAAGGGGGAAATGATTTTGTTAATGAAAAATGTTGATTATTAAGTGAACTTTTCAAATTTCATTATATGGGGAGAGGACATAAACCATTATAAACTCCGTTTTTCCACAACTATCAATGCTGGATCCTTTATTGACATATAATTGAACTGCAAAGAGCAATTTGATTGGTCTAGACTGTTAGACCCTCGAGTCATGTCTGAATTCTCAATATGCATGTGGCAGTTTTATAATATTTTGTGCAAAAGTTATCTATCCCTTCCTACCAGAAAATAAGTGTGTCTTTAATGTGAGATTTCCCTACTGGGATACCACATCGTTGACTGAGCTTGAGAATTTTAGATAAAAATGACATCTGTCTTCGTACTTTAAACATGATAACTTGATATTTTAAACATTAATCCCTCCTCTTGATTACTTAATATTGGAAATATTATTTTTTGAATAAGTTCACTGTGACCTACATCAATAAATGAAAAAGCACAATGGGAAACATTAGTTATTTGAACATTGAAAGACAACACATGATTTTGTGAAATCAAAAAATCAAATGCCCCCCCCACCTCCTGTTTCCTGACCTTTTGGAGGTTATGTGTGTAGCCACTCTAGGGATGAAGGGTCACTAGCAAGACTTCAACTGATCTGCAGATTACCTTGACATCTCCTGGAAAATCTGATCACATAGATATCTTATATATTCATATAATACCACATACGTATAGTATATGTCTCTAATATAGATAGAATTTGTAATAACTCTTCATTAAAATTCCAAATCCTCAATTTCTTCATGAGAATAATCATTTAGACTTTCTACTTTTAATCAGTTAAGTATAGGGTGCTACCCAAGTATAAGGAAAAGGTATTTACCTTATTTACTCCATTTCCTCCATGTACTAATATTTTGGGAACTCACAAAATACAAGTTCCCCTACCCTTCATTTTATATCAGATAGCACAGTGCTGTACTTAGCTTGAGTAGCACCCTGTATTAATGATACTGGATGTTGTAACCATTTATCTGTTATATTTAGTAAATTGATTGTCTTGAATCAAGTTAATGCCCTCCCCCAAACTCCTTACTTCAACCTTGTGTTAAATGAGTATTTGTTATGGGGGGGGGGGTGGAAGCATACATGGGATTGATGCAAGACTGATCATTCTTCCACAGTTGAAAAATACCAAATTGTTTATGTATGTTTTATTGCAGTTTTAAGAACACGAAATAAGGCCCCGCAGAAGATGTACCATACTCCCACTCCGAAAGTGGTACTCGTCAAGCAAGAAGCTTTATTGAAGTGTATATTTAGTGGCCTGTAAGTATTGCATTTTTGAAATATATTTCTTCCTTATGCCAGAGTTTAAGCCCTGGTACAACTTTCAATAGATTTTATCTAACTTTTAAAAAAAAGTATTTGTTTATTACTTTAAGCCTATTTTAAGAATTCAAGAGTTCAAACAAACCATGTTTCCTTTGTAATTTGCAAAATAATCTCAGTGATAGTATTGAGGACTGTCAATTTACAATTTTTCAAATTTCAAAATCAAAAGATAGATAACATTTACAATACCAAAGTCCATTTGATGACAAATTCTCTTACCTACAAGAACAGAATAATGAAGAGAAAAGCCAAAAGCCTAAAAGGTCTGAAGCATTTTCAGAATAAAAATTGTTCAAAGATTGATAATATCAGATATAATTGGTGTAAGAAAATAATCAAAAATGTATATCTTCTACTAGGCCTACTCCCACAGTGAGCTGGAGAAGAATTGGCGAACCTATGCCCAGTAGCGCAGAGTTCCTTGACTTTGGCCGTGAACTTTTGATTCCTGAAGCTGAGGTGGAGGATGCTGGAGAATATGAATGTACAGGGGAGAATAGTGAAGGCACAGTCAGTTTAACTGTGGTCCTAAATGTGCAATGTAAGTATATGTGCATGTGATTGATATTACATGCACTTGTACAGAAGTTTTGTAAATGTACTTCAAAGATGAATACCTGTACAATAACAATGATCGTTTGTAGTTAAAACCAAGCAATATAGGTGTCACAAGTTAGAAATCACGAAAAGTCAGTACTTTAACAATATTTGTGTTTTCAGCTGCCCCTTACTTCACAGAGAAACCTAAAAATGTCAACTCATCAGACAGTGAGAGCGCATCATTCACCTGTCGGGCAGGAGGTGACCCTCAACCTGTAATCAAGTGGTTTATAGATGGCGTACCTTTAGAAAGTAAGTACATAGTCACAGAAAGTACTCCAATGGTGAAGGTAACAATTTGCCACATTCAAGTTTTACAAATTTCTTGTTCTACACAGTTTCCGCTGTTATTCAATACCTTAACAACGTTGTCTATTATGTTCTATTATCTCATATTCATATTCTTTTTCTATGACTGATCATACACAGCTATAGTGATATGTAATGATATTTGGAAAGATACTAACTCTTGATCATACACAGCTATAGTGATATGTAATGATATTTGGAAAGGTTCTAACTCTTGATCCAGTATTATTCATGAATCTTGTCATCAAAATTCCAGGATAACTGCTTACATGTTCAACTTGAAATTTTAACACCCATTTTGTATTCTTAGATAAAAGAGTATATTTATTACTGTGTGGCTTGTAGGGGTAAATTAGTAAATTTTAATGAATATTTTTTTCTGTTGCTAGATGTGCGAAAAGCCGTCAACAGAGTGCTGACAGCTGATGGTCTTTCCATTAACTACACGAATCTCACCAAAGATGATGCCCAAGTGTTGCAATGTATGGCTAACAACACACACGGATATGTCTTGGAGAATGCTTACCTCAATGTACTGGGTAAGTAAATGATTGAGCTATGTCTTGGAGAATGCTTACCTCAATGTACTGGGTAAGTCAATGATTGAGCTATGTCTTGGAGAATGCTTACCTCAATGTACTGGGTTAGTAAATGATTGAGCTATATCTTGGAGAATGCTTACCTCAATGTACTGGGTAAGTCAATGATTGAGCTATGTCTTGGAGAATGGTTACCTCAATGTACTGGGTAAGTCAATGATTGAGCTATGTCTTGGAGAATGGTTACTCAATGTACTGGGTAAGTAAATGATTGAGCTATGTCTTGGAGAATGGATGATTTTAAATCTCATATGTGAAATGGAAAATTTGGATTGTCGTAACTAAACAGATAGATGAATGTCATACAAGTGAATTTGTCCATTTCATGAATGAGATTTTACTGTCTCCCCTTGGAGAACACTTACCCCGGTGAACTGGGTTGAAATATGTCAGGGTTTTTTCAGGAGACCATTATGCATTATACTAGTTTTTACAAATATCCTTGTTTAAGGGTTTTCTGAATATGCCTACTGTGACAAAATTAAAGATTCAAATTTCTGTATAAAACGCATGTACTTTATTTTTGGTTCTCAATCTGTACAAAAGATAATAGTAGCGCAGTTGCAATTAGGATGTTAACATAGATGTCACTCTTAGATCAGTAAGATTTATTTTTGTTCGAGTCATCTCGACTTCCCAAGGTATGAAATTAATTTAATATGACTAGAAGGTAAACATTATTAATCTAATATGGCAGTAAATTAGAGCCTGTTAAAAAACTGATCAGGAATATGAAATTACTTCATTTGTATTGCACCCTAAATGTGTTTTTAATAGCCTTTGCCTTCCCTCATCTGTTATCTCCTCATTATTTCCCACCCTTGTGTGGCTATATACGTGGGGGGGTGACCAATAAATTATTAGAAGTCATGTCATGAAACTTGGCAGAAATGTTACTACATGTACATAGACTACCAAGAAATATTTGAAAGAGTCAGAGGGTGATGACCGACATGTGTCAGGCCCGTAGCCAGGATTTGCCAAGGGGGGTTCAGTTTTCAAAAATTTCCAGGGGGGGATTCACATTTGACAATATTGGCCAAAATATGGCTAAAATCATTCGAGAAGTGCTCAAAATGGTGAAAAACTGCATGATTTTGAAATAATTTTTGGCCAGGGGGGGGGGCCTGTGTGTTTAAAATATGGTTGTTATGAAAAGTGGGTCGAAGGGTTAGAATAAGACGCAATGCAAGACAGGTTCACTCAGGCTTTGGTGGAGTTGCTTTAATGATATAATGACTTCACCTTAAGGATATACATATCATGTTTTCTATTAGCTTATGTAACCATCTTACATACTGAACATGTTCATAGTGCGATAAAATCACCACCTCCAGGACTTATATCTTTCACTGTAAACTGTGAGATAAAACATCACTTTCGGCCATTCTATTTTGCTGGAAACCTGATTACTTTGTGTATGCATCTAGTTATGTTACTAAGGCGATCTATAATTTTATTATTTTTCATCAGCTGTCTTGAACCTTACGTAATAAGCCTACTTGTTAAAGGTGTGTGATGATCAGGGGGGAAGAAAGGGCTTCATGCAAGACTTATCATTTTATCAGGTATCTTCTCCATCTTTATAAACAATCAAATAACAACAACTTGATGAAAATGTGAATTTAGTCCTTAATGAAGTCTCAGGACCCCCCCCCCCCAACCCAGTCTCTCTTGTTGGTGTAAACTATATGGGGGGGGGGGGGTAAGAGCTAGAGGCAAGACTAAGATTAATTCAACAAATCTATTTTTAATCAAATATTTGGGAAGATTCACTTATCATCAAAAATCTGATTTTTGAATAGCCCAGCCAGGCTATCTTGCTATTCAGACCATGTGTCTCTGTTATTGAAATAGGCCATTGCCCTCATGATACATCATGCACTTGATATTCATTTTAAAGGGATATTATGAATTCATTGTGCAATATACATGTATCAATAAATTGCAAGCATATTGAAATTCCTGCCTTGTTATTAGAGTCATGTTGAATATGGTAAACCTGTAGACATGATGTAGGATCAGTTCTAAGATGAAGAAAAGAATATTTATCTGAACAATCAATGTATTGTTAACTCAGTTCTACAGTGAAGCACATTGGGAGATAAGATGCCAGGCCTTCACTTCAAAGTAAAAGAAGAGGTGATAACAGAAATGGGAATTACAGTAGAACTTGTCTTTGTGAAACTTGTCTTTTCATGGACATCGACTAATGAATAGCTCTCATTTGATTGCTGTTTAGATAATATTATGTGACACTGCAGGCTCGTAGCCAGGGGGTTTCGCAGGGTTTGCCCCCCCCCCTGGTCAAAAATTCTTTCAAAAATCATGCAATTTTTCACCATTTTGAGCACTTCTCAAGTGATTTTAGCCATATTTGGGCCAAAATTGTTAAATGTGAACCCCCCCTGGAAATTTTTGAAAACTGAACCCCCCCCCTGGCAAATCCTGGCTCTGGGCCTGACTGTAATGTCCTTCTTGAACATTTGTCCCATGTGAACATTTTCCCCTTGATCACATCTCCAGAATCATGATATCATAAACCTTGAAATCTCATTTCTTATCAACCATGCGAACTTCATTTGGAAAGTGTAATAAAACTACTATCACACTCTTCAATATTGTTTGATTTTTTGTGGAGAACTTCATTAAAAACCACTGGGCATCAGCATGCTTAGAATCAGGACTTTTTTCCTCATTATGAAATGTGATTACTTCAAACTTCCTGTTTTCATTTACTTAATATTCTTATGTAGAGTAAGCCTCCAGCAATTATTGAAGATGTTAGATATGATACTTGCTTGGTTTGTTTGGGACCCAGGGTGCGAGGATCTGAAAATACACAAGGTCCATGGAGTGATATGTTGAAACGTTCTGTTGGAATCCCCACTTAATTTTATGTTACCTTGTTATATTATTACTTGGTGTGATGACATCAGGTAACATCTGTTTAATACAGGTGAAATATTTGAAAATTATGCAAAGTAGTTATCGTACATATTGAAAGGCAGTAATAATATAAACTGGAGTGAGCATTATAAGTGGCTGTTGTGATATTACCACATACAGTAAAACTTCTCAATATGAACACTCTCTCAGTTCCATTTTCAGTTTTCAGTTCCCAGTGGCATTTGAATTTGACAGATTTTACCATATGGTAAAGTCAGTGTTTGCTGTTGAGTGAATTTATCAATATGTATTATTCACATATAAAGAATTCTTTGTTTTTCTACTAAAATGTGTATATGTTACATAGTGGGACTCTGTAGACTCAGTTGGATACTTCGAAAAAAAATCTTGATATTTTTCAGAATTGTTCATAATTCAGTCAAGATGCTTATTGTTTATCAATTTTGAATTTTAATTTCTTTTGGAATGGAAAGTTTATTTATCGAACATTAAATACAGATGTTAACACATGCAAGTTTTACTGTATTTTGAATAGCATCCACTATAGAGGATATCAGACTTAATTAAATGTTGCATTGTGAAGTAGTGATTACATGGTATCTTAAAACATGGCGGATAGGAGATCTGGCATATAACAGTAAACAGACACTTAAGAAGTAACAGCTTATCATATGCAATATTATAATGCATACTGGTCAGTTTCATGTAACATACATGTCTCAAAGAGTAAAAACAATTTAGAGGACATTATAATTAATATGATATTAGAAAAAAAAATTCACACAGGATTATAATACGCAATATTATCTGGGCAATATTTTATAAATTCATGTCATAATTAATTGGCACGCACACATGGATTAAAGAAAGTCATACAATGCTGTTAAAGATCATAGAAGAAAGCCAGAGAAGTATTTATTATCAGATAAGAATTTAGATGAAATAATAGAGAAACATTAACTTCTCTTTGGTGAGTTGAAGTTTAAAGTAAAGGAAGTTCATACTGTGACCAGGATATGTCATGGAACTGTCCCTGGGGGTCAAATCGGATATCCTGTGGTCATGTATAATATCCTGTGGTCAGATATGATATCCTGTGGTCAGATATGATATTCCTTTCATCTTATAAGTAGTCTCACACAGCACTGTCAAAAATCAAGGCATTAAAATTAGGACTTCATTTTTGGGATAAAGGGTGCCATCATTTATTTATATTTCAATCATGATAGAGGTCAAGAGATGAGACATATTTTTGGTTTGTTTTGATTAAGCTAGATAATTAAGTCTACAAACAAAGGTATAGTGGCAAATGTTATTGTAAGACACATATTTGGCCCATCGCAACAGACAACATTACACCAATTAAATACCAATTAAATCCCAATCAACAGGTATTGCAGGTAATGTAATTAGTCTGGTTTATGATGTAATGTACAAGTCTACTACAAGATTGCATTTGAGGGCATTTTGATGAAAGATACCAATATGACCTGAGTGTATTTGATTGTTCATTCAAAATTGAAAGGGAACAAGGAAGAAACTTCAAAATAAACTTCTGTAGCACTCTGATAAGTATCCTTGCAAAGCTTTTGACAACATCTCAAAAGAGGGTGTGGTCTCATTGTGAGATCACTGTCAATCTGTCATAATCAGTTTCCTTTCTAGAAAGTTTGTCCAGAATAACTTTTGATTTTTGCAGCTTGCAATAAATAAAGATGTGTCTGGTATGAGAATGACTTTGCAACTCATAATACTAAGGATACTGGATAGTATTATACTGAGGAAAACCCTCTAGGTTTCATTGCTGAAGCCCAGAGACATCTTGATCCATCAAGGTATTTCATATGACTGAAAGATTACACTGGTTTAACAATACGGCCCAGAGTAGTAATCAGATGAATGCTTTTAAAGATGTGAAACCAAACTCATGAAATGGGCACTGGAGGTTTTCAGGGTATGAGATCAGAAAGTTGGGTGTTCCTGGTGCTCTGTTCAGTGCATTATTGTTCCTGGTCTCTAATTTGTTTATGTTTACTTATTGACAGCATGTTTGCCTTATTATCAACATTGCTACATTATAGACTGGCCAGTCAGTAAACATTCCAAAGGATCACCCATTAGTGAAACTCCTTTTATTGATACTTTGACCAAACTGAAGCCACGTATGTCTTCAGAGATTTGGAAACCACAGTTTAAATCCCTTAGTTTAGATTAAGTATGGTTGAGTAGACAAAATATAAACCTGAAAAATAAGTTTCTAAATATTTTTTATTATTCTTAAAGCACCAGTCAGATTATACTACAGTATAACGCAAAGTCACGAGAAAGTCATGAGGAATGGGCCAACTTGAAAGCTGACCCTCCATTTTGTACTATGTTTTCTTGCTATTGTGCACCTGACTGGGTATATTAGGCAGTTTGTTTCAATACTGAAATAGCAAGTTGTCCCAAGGGGTTCACAGTAGAGAACTTGATCTATTTGATGACAAGTTGTAAAATATAGAAATGTAGGGCAATACTGATGGAAATACATCTTGTTAGATTGAACTGATTGAGAACAGTAGGTCCATTCAGTCAGTTGAAGTCTTGTCTTAAATATCTGAACACAGATCTGTGGTTTCATTAACTAGCCACATATTGGTAACTCAAACTAGAAACTAGCTTATGTAATATAGTATGGTTCCCTGATTGTTGGTTATTACCATAGAGAATCAAGATAAGGAATGATTGGATATGTAAGACAGGGGATACATCATGTGTAAGGTGTGTAACATGCAATCAAGCAACCCTGTATCGCCACCTGCAAGTCACACAACCCTCTGAGTTCACGGATGATTTTATTATACAGTTTTGATCACCAATTAAGCTTTCATTGCTTTTATTGGAGTTTTGACATTAATTAGATAGGCAGAAAATGTGGTATTATTTTTGATGGCATATTCTGATTGCTGGTTGGATAGATTCTGGATCAAATTATTGTCTCTAAACCAGAGTGTTGATACAGTCATTCTCTTGTCAAGGGTACAAGCAAGCTGGCTAGTATCAGAGAAGTTCATTAGTGGGCAGTTAACCATATACACATACACACATGGGACATTGGGAGTGGTTGGCTTCAGGCTGGTAACAACAGGGGATCAGGAAACAGACTTGGAGTTTATGATTCTGAGAATAAAGCCTCAAGGAAGGATCTTATCCCATTAGAGAACAAGTGCTTGTATATTACAGTCTCTAACACTCTGCTAAGAAAACTTTATAGTAATCCGCAGATATTTTCATTGTGAATTTAGTGATACGTCAATATTATTATTTTAAATTGTGGATATCAAAGCAGTGTTACATGTGCGGGAACTTGTATTTGGTTCATTGAGACTAGGGTCCTTGGATTTGACAGTGCTGATTGGAGACAATATTTTAAAAGACATATTTTCAGGTATTCAGCTATTGTGAATAGTAACGAAAATAAGGATTCTAAATCAGATAATGACGACTTTTAAATGATAAAAATAGAATAAGGCTACAGACAATAACACTACATTTCATAAAATGGACAAAATGGATATAAAACTGATTATCTTCTTCCTGGTTGTGGCATTTGATATTACAATCGCTCAGAATATCAGTGTGTCAATGAACAATATCAGTGTGTCAGCACAGAATAATGACACACAACCTTCAGATGAGATGACTGACTTGATCACTGGAATAATGGACAATGGTAAAGTACTATTAAACATAACTTCAAGCAATAAAACACTTAAGGTGGAGGGCTCTATAGGTATAACAACTACGCCTCCCAATGATTTACCACAAAGCACAACTAAGAAGCCCAATAGCACAACTGATAGCATAAGCACAACTTATTTAAGCACAACTGCAAAATCTAGCACACCTGTTGCTATGGCAAAGTCTCCTATCCCCAAAAGAAAGGTTCTGCTTGTCATTGAGTCAAAATTCAATATGACTAATTATACAGATATGACTAATTATACAGATGGTACTTGGACAGTAGGTGATAGTCATATTGAGAGTATATCAAATTCTAATACTTCATTTGAAGTACCTGCTAACACAAATGATTCTGTTAACATAAATGCTTCAGTTGCTAACATAAATGCTTCTGGGGCTAACATAAATGTTTCAGGCACTAATATAAATGCTTCAGAGGCTAACATAAATGCCTCAGAGGCTAACATAAATGCTTTGGCTGCTAACATGAATAATGCTTCACTCTCTAATATAAATGCTAATAAAAACTTTGATACAAATGCTACTAATGACTTTGACATAAATGTTGCTGAATCAGCAAATAAAGATACTACTACTCGCTCTAATATAAATGCTACTAATGGTTCAGACATTAATGCTACTTATAAAGATGACAATGTAGACAACCATACAGCTAGTGAAAACACTACTGAAGTTTTTTGTGTTGAATTCCCGGGTATGTATTATTTAAGTTCAAATTTATTTTGATTTTGTCCCTGTTGGCAATCATAGAATCTGAATGGTTTGCATGTCACGCATGGAGATAGAAAGTTACTTTTTGCTCCTTTCAACCTTTAGACCCCCCGACCCCTTACTTAAAGTAGTATATAGGTAAGTCTAAGTTTGAGAATGACTTATAACCTGTGTTTGAGACTTTCAAAATATTATCAGTTTGTCTATAGCCCATTTCTAGTTCCCTTCCAATATATCAAGGGAAAACACAAGGGTTTGTTTGATTGAAAATATTTTTAACATAATATGAAGAAATTGATATGGAAGAATGCCACCTCCAAGACTTTAAATAGTCCAATCTTAATTGAGATATTTTCAAGCATGTGTTGTTGATGTATTATCAGATAATAGCTAGGAAATTATCTATTTCTTCCCTACCACCTACGGCCGAACATAACACCTGTAATTAAGGAATTACCTGATTGATTACATTTTTGTATTGTAAACAATGTGCTCTTAATAAGTAACAATTCTTTTACTAAAATACAGTCTTGTACTACTCTAACTTACCTATACTAGAAATAACAATATGTGATATGCATATGGTACAGTTTTATATATTAACAATACAAAAAATTCATATTACAATGAAATACATTAGGTCATTCAAAATCTGTGGAAATCTATGTTTTAAGTTAATAAATATAGTCATAGTTTTCAAAAAAGAATTGTGCCAATTGCTGCCATAAACAAAATTTCAGAAATCAAAAAATACTGGTGAAGTTTATGGGTATTGAATTTCTGGAGGATCAACCAAAATCTCTAAGGTGCAATTGTGTTTTAGCTCTAATACTAAGATCTCCCATTATTTGATCTTGATGATGAGAACAATCACAAATAAACAATACAAATATTTTAAACATCAAAGCTGAGAGACATGAAAGATAGTGTCGCAGTGTCTCAGTGTCAAGTGTCAAACAGCAATTCTTCCTCACATAAAGTGAGAACCCCTCCATTATCCCAGATTACATGCAATTGTTATCCCACCGAACGAAGTTCGAGGGGAATATAGAAAAGCCGTCCGTCCGTCCGTTTGTCCGTCCGTTCGTCCGTCCGTTCTTCCGTCCGTTCGTCCGTCCGTCCGTTCGTGTGTCTGGGCAATAACTCAAATACCGGTTGACGGATTTCATTCAAATTTTATAGGCTTATGCCTTATGGGTGTAGGACCTCTGCTCGAGAAGGAATTTTCAATATGAACACTTAATATTTTATAGGCTTATGCCTTATGGGTGTAGGACCTCTGCTCGAGAAGGAATTTTCAATATGAACACTTAATTCAAAATGGCGGCCATTTTTCAGAAAAAATATAATCTTTAATAACTCAAATACTAGTGGATAGATTTGGTTCAAATTTTATATGCTGTTGCCTGGGTACAAAGGAGCCTTGCTCAAGAAGACATTTTCAAGATGGCCACCAAATTTCAAAATGGCGGCCATTTTTCGTAAAAATCCGTTATCTTTGATAACTCACATACCATTGAATGGATTTGGTTCAAATTTAAGATGCTGATGCCTAGGGACATAGGAGCTCTGCTCGAGAAAGGATTTTCAAGATGGCAGTTAAATTTCAAAATGGCGGCCATTTTTTGTAAAAAAAATTATCTTTGATAACTCAATTACAATTGAATGGATTTAGTTCAAATTTTACATGATGATGCCTAGGAACATAGGAGCTCTGCTCGAGAAGGGATTTTCAAGGTGGTAGCTAAATTTCAAAATGGCCCCTGAATTTCAAATCGTAAAAAATGTAATTAATGATAACTCAAATACCAGTGGATGGATTTGGTTCCAATTTTATTTGCTGATGTTTAGGGAAAAAGGAGATCTGCTTCAGAAGAAATTTTAAAGGCGTTAGCTGAATTTCAAAATGGCTGCCATTTTTCATTAATAAAGTAATCTTTGATAACCCAAAATACCATTGGACTGACATTCTCTGCTAAAGAAGAAATCTAAAGATGACAGCTGAATTTCAAAATGGCAACCATGTGTCATAAAAACATAATCTTTGATAATTCAAATACCAGTGGATGAATTTGACTCAAATTTTTTATCAAAACATGTTTTGTTCGGTGGGATTTGCTACTCCGTTGAGTTGCTGTTTTTCTAGTTTATGTGCCAACTCCATCTGTATTAGCTGACCATATGATAAGATACCACCAGTAAACAAGTAATTATCATTCCACTAATTAACATAGAGGCCAGCTTAGGGGTACACTTACCTTATAGACCTTGTATTACCACACCCAGGTGTTTGCCATATGAGAACCTTGAAGCCCAGAGGCTAACAGTAATGTGATGAAGATGGAATTGAAAAGGGTACAATTTGAGTCAAGTACTGCAAAACACATGAAATTTGCAGACATCTTGATTATTGAATTCATGAACATTGTATATTCGCTTGAGTATAAAATGCCTAATTCAGGGTGGTGCAAATATAAAATTGTATTCCTGGCATGATTTGAAACTTTTGCAAAAATCGCAAAAAACATGAGTATACAAAAAGAAGAAATCTTCGAAAATTGCTACCATGAATGTAATGTGTTTAACTGTTGGAAAATCACTGGAAGATTATTTTGGGTTTTTGCATAGAATGTAAATCACTTGTGTAAAATTAGTTTTGACAGTAATGAGTACCAAAAATTTTGTTAAAGGCAAATGTTTTACTATGTTGAACACAAATTATGACTTTTTTGTTTTGTTTATTTGTATCTTAAAATCAAAATTTCATGTTAAAACCCCTCTTTTTACTTTGTTGTCCCCCTTTGGATGCCCCCATTAAGTTGTGTGTACAGATTGAGAAACCAAAAGCTTGTACATGTTTATTTATACAAAAGTGTGTTCTGTTTTTAATACAGTGTAGTTTGAATTTTGATTACAGAAGACTTAATTATTTCATCAACTGAAAAATTCTCTAATTTTTTCGACAGGTTGGGCAAAAAATGTTACTCATCCTGATTGTACACTCCTTTTTTTATTAATACTTTTTATCAATGTTAAAATTGTTCTATAATTTATTTGTTTAGTTTACAATTTTTCTTTATTCTTTAAAATTGGAGATATGGGAGTCTAACCTCACATCTTTGTGTACCAAAGATGCAGTGCTGAAACAATGCCTACCGTATATATATCTGTTAATTATTGATTATTCATCAAAAATTTTATGTTAAATATTTTTTGAAAATGTTTTCATTCCATAATTATTTTAAATATTGTTAATTCATACCAAAGATTAATATGGAAAAATCTTACTTTATAGCCCTACCCCCAGAGTGGCGTTCACCACCAGAGGATGCCGTCAGAGCTGAAGGACAATCAGTTGAGTTCAAATGTGAGACATTTGCTGCCCCTCGTGCCAAAGTAACCTGGACGTTGGATGGACAGCCCCTTCAAGGTTCAAGATTTTCAGTTGATCAGTTAACAGGTAAGTTTAAGTAATGATAAAGCCTCTTTGGGAAATTATCTAAAATGTATCTCAAAAATAAAATATATATATAGAATAATACTATGTTGCACAAATATGGTTTTAAAGATCATGTCTGTGCACAAATCATTGCAAGCTTACACACAACAACTTGTGCAAATTGGATATTTCAAATCTTCCTATGTATCTAAAAGTGGTAGTAAAATTACATTTCCTAAGCTATTTTCCTCATACTCATCATGATTTCTACTTCGACTATCACAAAATTGATGAACTTTGGTAATTTTCTTCCTATGTACCCGTTAATCCTCATGATATGGACACTGGGCTCCAAATTTCATTATTAAGAATGGTCCTGAGAATAAACTTGTTAACAAGGGTTGGAGCCCTGCATCTGTGTGAAGAAAACTTTAAGGTTTCAGATACCAGAGCCCCTAAAGGTTTCTGAATACCAATTTACATCCCTTAGAAAATTGCTCCATTTATACATTATTTAAGCCTTGTCCCTGTTGGGTAATAGACAGTGCATCACTGTTCACTATGTTTTAGGTACCTTGAGCATTAGAGACATAGATCTAGATGAGGATGCAGGTGTCTACAAATGTATTGCAACAAACAAGTTTGGAGAGCTGCCTGGGGAAGCAACTTTGTCTACCAGAAGTAAGTTTTCTTAAAGGCCCCATGTAAAGTTTAAACCACTTTGGCTTATATTGTAGTCTTACCCAATGTTATCAAAGTGTGATATGTGAAACTTTTTTTTTAAATTTCAAAAAGTGGTTTTTGATAGGCTTTTTGTTCCAAAATTTGTGAATTTATTTAAAACCAACTTTTAGAGGTCACTCATATCTTCTAATTAGCCACAATTCATATCAATGCATAGCATTCATCCTCCCATGTTTTTTGCCGAAAAAATTAAGAAAATTGGTTGATAAACAAGCAAAAATTGAACTTATCGGTGCATGAAAATGGTTCTGAGAAAAATGCATTTCAAAATTTTAGTTCTCATAGAAACCAATGGTACAAAGATATTTAAAACATAATTTATTCTTCCTTTTTACCTGGTTAGACAATCAACATTGGTTTTTTATGAAAGTCTAACATATTTAGAAAAGATTGACATCGAAAAAGAAATTTGAATTTTTTTCAAAAAGTTTTTGGTACCTTAGTGACATCACTAATGTTTCAAAATATTTTTGATATGTTAAAACATTGAAGTGTCCCATTAAATATGGCATTTTATTATTGAAATAGTGTGTCCTTTGTTCAACCTTTGCATTGGTGTTAAAAAGATAATCTTTTTTGAAATCCATTAAGAAATATTTGATGATTAAGAAATTTCAACTTTTTTGAAAAATGGCGGGAAATTTGAATATTTGAGAAATGAAATGCTCACAACTTTTTTTTCAAATTTTTTTTTTGTTCAAAAATCTCTAAAATCACTTTTTAAGTCCTGACAAATAGTAAATGAATGAAAAAAAAATATTTTCAAACTTTAGACGGGGACTTTAAGGTGTATTATATACTGTGTATTATAAAAGTACAACATTTCTGTTGTTCAGTATTTTCTGATCGCATCAACAGGAAGCTGCGTATAAGCTTGAATGTCAAACATAAATACATTTTTAAAAAAACTGATTGATTGACTTCGGTCAACAATAGAAGGGTAGACTTGCCAACTATCTCCGGAGAAAACTCCCACTTTTTGAAAAAAAATCTAGAACTTCAGATTTTAAAAAATAACTAGAAAATTTATAACTATCACTTTGTTTTAATAAATTACAACAGTTAACGGGTATGCAGTATGTCTTGTGTGCTATTGTATTATATTATTCTGTATGTTGTGTGTCGTTTTATTCTCTATGTGGATTGTCATGTTATTTTCTATGTGGTGTGTCATGTTACTTCAGAGGCCACTGTTGTCAGTCAGAAGCCTAAAGATGAGAGAGTAGAGAAGGGCACAGATACAACATTTGAATGTGATGCCACAGTGGATCCTGCAGAGACTGATAACCTTGTCATAGAATGGAAGAAGAATGGAGAATATATTGACTATGAGGTAAGGCACCATATGTGACAATTAATCATTGATTAAGTCTATTTAGGTAGGTGGTAAAAGATCTTATATTCAGAGTAAAAAATAAAGTAATTCTAAATTTAGTCTGTTACAAGCAGGTAAAAGAAAGATCATTGAAAGAGATGCATATGTGATATTGTTTTGCTTTTTGTCGCATTTTATCTATTATATGCTTTTCAGAGGGAACCAAACATAAATAAGAATCTCAACACAAATGCATTGATCATCACAAATGCCCAAGTTGACGACACTGCCACCTATACATGTGTTGCAAAAACCAGCGTAGATGAAACTGAGGCTAGTGCCGAACTTGTCGTATTTTCTGTACCAGATGCACCTACAAACGTCGTAACAAAGACATGTGAAGCTAGAACTGGTTCCATTATGTGGGACAAACCATCTCCAAATAACTCTCCAATTTTGAGATATTATATTGAAATGAAGACAGGTTTTGAAGATAAATGGTATCGGGTTAAGGACAGGAATGGACAACAAGAATTAACAGTATCCAGTAACTTTAATGCTCCAGTCAAGATAAGCTTGTCCCCATACGTCAACTATACATTCCGAGTTATTGCTGAAAATGGTATTGGTAAGTCACAAATTTTGAAAAAAAGTTCAGGAATTTAAAGAATGTAAATGTATAAGGCAAAGGTGGAATTTTTACAGGCATTTAGGCAAGTTCAGTTGTAACTGGGGTTTAATATTTATGGACTGGATCAGAATATTGATGTACATTTTGACTCCACCCCTCCCACTCAAAATGAAAATACAAATGCTAAAATTACACATACAAATCCCAGTGGCACCTCCAAATGGCATTTTAATTCATTCAAATCAGATAAATGGGGATGCAAAGTCATATAGATGGTATATCATTTGTGGTTTGTTCCTCACTTCTTACCCCATTGGTTTGCATGTGAACGTTGCTCAAATGAAACAGACAAAAATGACAACACACTGTATACTCATGAAAGTCATGAAAAAATTCATCCATAATTTTATTTTAATTTAAAAGATTGATTGAAGATTGATTGATATAAAAGATTGATTTTTTCATTGTGGCCTACACTTGTTTTACATGTTTAATTGATTGCATTTTTGTTTTAAATTGATGTCTTATATTTGCAGGCTTAAGTGAGCCAAGTGATCCTACTGGCTCAGTGTGCAAGACTCCTGCAGCTAACCCAGAGAAAAACCCTCAGAATGTCCGAGATGAGAGCAAGAAACCTGGAGAGTTCTTCATTAAATGGGATGTAAGTAATAGCTATGTAAAACTGTGTTTCTAACTTTGAATAATGGAAAAAGATAAAAACTGTGAACCAGATGAACCAAGGAATTATGAAACCTTTAGAGCTCTAGTTTAATCCTTGTATTGAAAACCTTCCAGTACATCACCCTAATATATTTAACTTCAGACGATGGCTAAGATGGACCACAATGGACCAGGATTCTACTATATCGTAAGCTATTATGAAGGACGCCTTAACCAGGTTAGGCCACCATGGGTACATGTTAATGTGACACACATAGAGGGACGTGGGGAATTGAAAATTGAAGACAGGGCACCATTCACCCCATTTGTCTTTAAAGTCAGAGCAGCCAATGCCTTTGGAGTCAGCCTCAAGAAAGCCAGGAAGCACTTTGGTTATTCTGGGGAATCAGGTCAGTATTTTCCTATGGCTTTTTGCCGCACCATTTAAACTTTTCACAAAGTACTTTTTGCCTCAAAGACTCAATGTTTAGTTAATCAATTTTAATACAATGTGGTTCTAAGGCGGCTAATATAAATAAATATCTCTTGTGTTTTCAAGAACCCAAAGTAAGTCCTAAAGGTTTCCGTGTTGATGAAGAGGAACCAAGTAATGGAACAGCAGCAACTTTCAGATGGGAGAAGATAGACTGCAGCCCAGAAAATGTTGGAGGTTTCTTCAAAGGATACAAGGTACAGTCATAAACAGCATTTTCACTGGTATTTGAAAGGCCCTGTACATGTCAAAAATCATGTATTAACAGTGACAAATGAAATCATGTTCATTTATATAAAATGGGTGTACTTATGTGTGTCATCTAACACCTTAAAAAACTTTATGATGTAACAATTGATATTTACCTTTTGGCAGTAAACTCTTAAATTTGAAATATAAAGATCCTCATCAAACATTGTATGGCTTTGTAATTCAGAAAATCAATTATACTTTTTATTAATGTTATTTAATGTTATATCTGTTTTATTGAATAAATAAGTATTACTTTTGTGTATGTACTCCAGGTTGAGTTCTGGATAGCTGACCAGTATGAGGATACAAGGAAAACCAGTGAAATAGTCCTCCAAGAATACCCCAATGATGTATTACAGTGTGATAAACGCTCATATAGTAAACGCCAAGCTGACACCCCTGTCGTCAAGGGTCACGTGACTAACCTCTACCCATACTCCAATCTGGTAGCGCACGTCATGGTTATGAATAGATATTACGATGGGCCTCCTAGCGTCAAGTACGAGTGGCTCACTCCCGAAGGATGTTAGTATAGTTCTTTTTGTCCAGAGTTTTCTTGACTTATGTTCTCTTGAAATAGGAAAAAATCCTGAGTTTAAGAACACCTCCCTCAGTAAATTCCTCAAATAGTAATAGTAATGAATAAACAATCATATATTATATATGTGGCTGCCATTTAATTCACATTTGGTGTTTTCTTACATAGCACATTAGTCAGTAAGATTCCATCATGTGACCAAAATAAGTGATTTATGTACATAACATATATGATGGCATTTTAATTCATTCAATGGGGATGAGAAGTTATATAGATGGCATGGCATCTGTCCTCACTTTCTGTCCATTGGTTTGAATGTATGTATATAAATGAGATTAATTTTTTTTTCAATTTTCTAGTGCCTGGCCCTGTTGGTGAATTTGATGTGACCCAACCTGCATCTCACCATGTAGAAGTTGCTTGGGATGAGCCAGAGGAAGTAAATGGGAATCTCAAAGGATATGAAATAGAATATGTTCCATGTAAGTCCACTAGATACACTTTCATGGTTTTGTAAATGTTTGGTTCACAATAGATTGAGAGTCCTTAAATGATGCTTATGGAATCATGAAAAACTGGCAATATTAGTTAAAAGTGAATTAAATGAAGAATTACATGGATTTTGTGGGTAGATATAAAAATAAAAACGTATCTCCTTTATGTCAAGTATTTGTTAATTTAAAACAAATATTTTTGATCTGAGAAATTTAAACTATATATCTGTTAAAGACAATCTGTGACAAATGTTAAACTTTTGTAACTTGCCAGGTGGTGATAGTTTGTTCTATGTTAATGCCTTATTTTCCAGTTGATGAAGATGGCAATCTCGACCCCTCTCGGAGTTCAACTGAGACGATTGATGACCCGACCCAGACAGTTGCCAAATTGAAGGATCTTGATCCAGACACCAAGTACAGAATTTGTATCTATGCCAAGACTGGAGCTGGAAGAGGAGAGAAGAAATGTACGGAGACAAAAACCAGAGTCAACCAGCGTAAGTAGTTGTTGTAGTTCTTTTATGATTGTTAAACTCTAAAGGTGCAATTTGACAGGAAAATTCAACTCACTTAAACAAGTCTAAAATTGTAAAGAGTTTTCTCAGGAAATGAAGGGTAATTGAAGAAAAAACAATAATGTACAAACTTATTTTGATAATATACTCCGCATATTGTAACTGACCTATGGTAATCTGTATTGCATGCTGTCCATATACAATCATGTTATGCAGATATAGTATTTATGATTTATGATTTTAAAAGTCAATTGATTTAGTGTAAACAAAGGATGGATCATTCAACTTAATTTGATCTTTAAAAGATTATTATTTCTTAAATGCATTAACTACATGTTAAATGCAGGGTTCCTGCGAACCCCCCTCCTGGCCAAAGATTATTTCAAAATCATGCAGTTTTTCACCATTTTGAGCACTTTTCAAGTGATCTTAGCCATATTTGGGCCAAAATTGTCAAATGTGAACACCCCTGGAAATTTTTGAAAACTGAACCCTCCTTGGCAAATCCTGGCTACGGGCCTGTGATGTGTTGTTTTATATTGTGCATTCATATTTACATGCAGCTCCCAGTAAGCCCCAATTCTTTGGCAAACCACTAGGAGAGTCTGAGATGAATATCACCTGGGAGGAATCAAGAGCATCAGAAAACCCAGGAGCAACCTTCTATGTGAACTATAGACCTACAGGTAAATTCTACGGTAATGTAGCCAACAAGTAATACAGGATTGATTTGTACTGATGCCTTATTAAAGCCTAACGTACATCCAACACTAAAAAGTCACACGTCTCTCAGTGTTCACAGGAAGAGAAGATTTATAAGTACATGTAGTCCATTCTCTATTCACACAAGTCAGTTATTTGTGCCTTGTGGTTGAAATAATTGGTTTTATGCAATAAGGAAGCATGAAAATTTCATTTGACTGATAATTTATTTTTTAATTTAGGTGATGATGGTGATTGGAACACAACAGATAGTCAGGAATATAAATACTGGCGCAATATCAGTGGTTTGTTGCCAGCTGGTCGCTATGACGTTTACGTTACAGCAGTCAGTGGTAATGGTGTCACAGAAACCGACAGTGATACCAAAGAAGTCCTATTAGGTGCAAGAGGTAAGATATGTAATGATTCTATTGTTTGTTGGTGTCTATGATTTCTTGCACCCTATATGTATGTATATGTATGTGAATGTTTAATGAATATCTATGATTTGTGTTTGTATATTTCTTTTCTTCAATTCAAAGAATGTAAAACCCATTTCCTTGAAAAATACTTCATTGATTTTTCAATATAATTTTGAGTTCTGTATTTTTCAATCTTATTAAGTGTATGTATGATTGAAACATGTTCCTGAGTTTTATTGTCTTTATTTGATGAGAAAATCATTGTTGTTGCATATGGTTAGCATGTTGTTTTTTCACTCTTTCTCTTGTTCTGTCCATTGAGTATTACACATGTGTGTATAGTAGTTTACATGTATATATTATCTTGAATACATCCATACAATTGATCTTATTTTACCACGACTGTTAATCCGCCTCAAATTTTGTGTGAAATTGGCAACATCTAGAGACCCCTCTTTCAAAGATAAGGAAAATCCAAGTCCCTCTTCTTTGATGAAGGTCAACTTAAGGGAATGATAAGATAACAGATATATTTTTGTCCATAGTTTGTAGCAGTTATTTTCTTTGTTCTGAAGAAAATTCACTGTTCAGCGAACAGGTAACAGAGCGAACTTGAGCACTTTTCAAGTGATTTTTGAGCCAAAATTGTCAAAAGTGAACCCCTGAATTTTTTAAAAAGTGACCCCCCTTTGGCGAATCCTGGCTATGAGCCTATCAGCCCACTTTCAATCATTGGATCCAAATATAACAAGGTGGCAAAATAATTGTTGTATTGTGTATATCTCTTCTCTCTCTGTGTTCAAATGTGAATGATATAAATGTTGTCTCTTTATCAGCTCCCACCCTTCCTCCTGTTGTCACGACAACAGAAGATACTTCAGACTGGAATATTACAGCGATCGGAGGTTTGTTACGGTGTGACCCCTCCCCTGAAAGGAATGTGCCCCTGCAACCAAACTTACTAATGAATAATCTTAAATAAGCAACAGATATTCTCCTGAATGTATCTGGGAGTATCATGATGTTTATATGGAGAATATCTGTAGTTTGCATAACTAATGTTGATAATATTTATTTCAGGAAGTTATCATATCATACGCCACATTATTAAACACACTGACTACTTTTTAATTGCTTTTATTTCATGAGTGATCCACTAAGCTTTATTATTTATGACGTTTTAGATGTTGAAGTTATCTTAGATGAAGTGAAGCGTGAGTGAACTAGGGGAGACATCTATTAATACCCCCAAGACCCATTGCTTAATTAAGGATCCTGCTGACATCAAATTGCTTACTTGCTTTTTCATTCAGATTAGATTACACCGCCATCTATTATGAGCACTACAACTATATTTCTCCAAATATATTTAGAAACTGTTTTTTCATATAGAGATTTGTTAAGATTAGATTTTATTTTGTTCCACTTTTCTTCATGCTTTCATGTTTAAATAAGTTGCACAAATATTTATTAAATGCCAAGCAAATGCTTTCCCCTTTACCCTTTTATAAGTTATTTTGCTTTGTACATAGCTTCATTCTTTTATCCAATCAAATTGCAGCATTTCATTTAATAAATACTCAAATTGTGTTAAAGATATTAGATGTTGAGATAATACATATACCTAAATAATTAACCAGTTTGTTGTGAAATGTAATAACGTGTACAATCAGAAACATTATTTATGCTCTCTGTATAACTAATATCCTTCGATCTTTAAGCTTTACAATGAATATTCTGCAGAGTTTGTCTCTTTAAAATTCTTTTTTTGCTTTTTTCTAGAGATAATATCAACGATTTATATTATCATCATTTAGTGATGTGAAAAAATGATCCGTACTTATACCTGCACATATTTTCCATATATGGACACAATCAATATCCATTTCTTAATTCCCCGTAATCCTTTGTGCCTCGCAGACAGTTTGATGGAGCTTGGCTGTTGCGAAAAGAGGATTATGGGAAATTTGAATTTTGGGTTACAACAATTGTTGCTTCTTCTGTCACAAATATGATGAAAAATCAATTCTGTACTATAAAAACTTGTACTGTACATAACATAACTGAATATCCAATTTATGAAAAACATACATATTGTGTAAAACTTGTACTGTTACATTACATGACTGAATTTCCAATTTATGAAAAACATACATATTGTGTATTAAAAATATTGTGTTAATGAGTTATGATATTGTATATCAGATGTTGTTTTGCCAATGATGAATTCTCAAAAACTGTAATCAAGGTCTTGAATATTTTTTGTTTTTAACATTTCATAATTTTCAGGTCTTCAACTTAGAATCCATTAAAAGTAGAAATGTATTTTGGACTTATTTTGTGTTCTTTCGTTATTTTAGCTGCCAAAGTAGAGGAGGTCACTACAGCTGGTTGGTTCATAGGCATTATGGTTGTACTTGCCCTCCTTCTTCTCATACTACTCATTGTGTGTCTTATCAAGAGGAACAGAGGAGGAAAATACCCAGGTAAAATAATGGCAAATTTGTTAGATGCACTATTTATTTGTATCAACGACTTAAACCAGAATGATACACATTTTAATTGTGATAACCTTCTTGTCAAAGTCAAAAGTAATTGCAGAGAAATGATATGGACTAAACAAATGTCAAGTGGAACACTTGTAAATGGAAACTCCTGTGACCCATTGACTCAATGTTATACAAACCTTACTACCAAATAAGGTACTATATGAGCTACCAAAGGTTTTCCACTACAGAGGTTTTACTTTACCAGCTTTTTAACTACTGGTGTTGATTTTTGAATATAAAATATATGAAAACAAACAGAATCTTTTCTCCTTTTATTTCGATAATGAACATAAACATGAAACATTTCAGTGTACGAGAAAGAGAAACTCCGGGGCCATGATCCTGATGAGGATGAGGAAGGTGGATTCAATGAGTACCAGAGACCACCAGAGTAAGTAGACATCTAGTCTCACATTTGTATTTTAGAAAAAATATACAAAAGAACGTATTAACCATGATCGAAGAGTACACACACTTCAGATTTCAGTAAACTTTCATTTTCTTATATTTCATCTCTTTACTTTAGTATTCAATGATTTAGATCTTTACTTGATACTTTTTTATATATTTTTACATGTACAGTTGTAGACGTTTACATTTAAAGTACTTTATGACCTACATGTGCCAAAGCTTTACATTTATTAATAAAACGTATTGGTTCAGTTGTTAGGATGAACTAGATAGTTGTCATTTCTGAGGGCTGTGTCTCGGACTGAAATTGCATGTCATATTTATATTTATTAATTCAAATTTAAGATTATGTGAATGTTTTATATTTTGCTCACTTACCATATATTAACCACACTTTTTATGTCAACACCACAAGTGGTGACATATTGTTATAGTCTCCACCTTTTTTATGGCCAATGTTTGGCATCTGTAACAGTATTCTGTGTCTGTAACAGTGACCGGTGTCTGTAACAGCATTCGGCAGTCAGTGTCTGTAAGAAATGGCAGGTGGTGACATTTTGCATGTTAATGCCTTGTATATTTGGTTTATTAGTTGGAAAACAACTACTTATTGCTTGTGCCATACGTTGCATAGATGGAATTCCATTCTGTTCTTGATGTGAATTACTCTTTTTACACCGAAGCACATTCATTCAAATCTCTGTCTCTCTTTAAACAATTGAAACACCACCATTTAACCCAATGTTGATTTTACCAGGGACATCATGGGTACATTGAACAAAGATTCAAAAAAGCATTTTTGAAGTTATTTTGGTCCATTTATAGAAAATATTTGAGATTTTTTTAAAAAATTTTTGAGGGGAGGGGGGTAATAATTTTAAAAATGAACTTCACTTATAAGGGATCTTACTACATATTTAGATAGTTGAGAGAATATGTAGAATAATGATACACAAATGTAACTAAAATGTGAAGCAAGTCATTCTGATTCCCAAAGCCCTAATGGCAGTGACCTTGGTAATCAAAATGGCCACTGACCCACTACCATTTTCTATTATGTTAATCAAAATGGCCACTGACCCACCATCATTTTCTATTATGGTAATGAAAATGGCCACTGACCCACCGCTATTTGCTATCATGTTAATCAAAATGGCCACTGACCCATCACCATTTCCTATTATGGTAATCAAAATGGCCACTGACCCACCACCATTTGCTATTATGTTAATCAAAATGGCCACTGATCCACCACCATTTCCTATTATGGTAATCAAAATGGCCACTGACCCACCACCATTTGCTATTATGTTAATCAAAATGGCCACTGATCCACCACCATTTCCTATTATGGTAATCAAAATGGCCACTGACCCACCACCATTTGCTATTATGTTAATCAAAATGGCCACTGATCCACCACCATTTCCTATTATGGTAATCAAAATGGCCACTGACCCCCCACCATTTCCTATTATGGTTATCAAAATGGCCACTGACCCACCACCATTTGCTATTATGATTGTGTTGATGCATGCATTTATTTTGACTCACAGGCAGCATGTTACACCAGATCTCAGCTACAGGTTTGTTGCTTAAGCTCACTGTTGCAACTAGCTCAGTGTTACAGCTCAATGTTTTAGCTCAGTGTTACAGCTTAATGTTGAAGTTCAGTATTATAGCTTAATGTCACAGCTTAATATTATTCATTGCCAAAGCTCAATATTATAGCTCAATATAACTTATTATTTTGCTGCAGCTCTATATTTACTTTGATACATCTGGTTTTAGCTCAAAATTACTGTACCTGCAGCTCCATCTATTTAATTCAGCTTGGGCAGTGCTGCCTTGATGTTGTTACGTTGCATTGCATCTGTGTCGCTTTATTTGTCCAGCTTTTACTTATGTTATGCTTTATTTCTGCAATGTTTCTTTGTTTGTGGGATCATATTTTGGGGATTTGGGGTTTCTTTTATTAAGCAGGTTTTGCTCTTAATTTTTTCTTTTTCTTCCAGTGGTTTGTGATAGGCCTACTCTTTTTCCCCTTTTCACACTTGTGCTTATTCATATTCAATGATCTTTATTGAAAGGATGGGGTAAATTTTTTCCAAACACATTTTACTCCTTTGCTTAAAGTAATAAAGTGATTGTTGTTATTATGTTGCATTATGTTAGGGATGTAGGTGTTTTTTCCAACCTAAGAACTAAGGAGATGACCAAGTTGATCTTAGGCTAGTGGGATTTCACCATCACTTCACATTAGTTTGTTTTGAAAACAAATGGTCCATCATATATCATCAAAGCCCAAATAGTATTTTTTGTAACCAATTAAGTGTTTGTAATTTGAAATTATAGTTAAATTTTGTCCTTTGTTTTGGTCTTCCGAATTCATGTTTAACCCAAGCTCAGAATTATTTAATTTGAAGATTCAGTCACACAGAAAAAATCCTGAAATGGTTAGGTCCTCCAAGATCATTTGGTCTCCCCTTATTGTATTCTTTGGTAATAGAACCTCAGATTTTTAAAATCTGAATCATAAGTAAAACAAAACATTTTATCAGTATTCACGGGAATTTTGACATGTGATATGGTTTTAAATTTTACTTGTTTCAGTTTAGTTTGATGATAAACTTATACAATAAAGCACGACTGAAGTAACTAACATATGATGAAGAAATCACTTATGATTTTAGCATGAAAATGGTGATTATGTGATTTCATGTATCATAGCGTGAATTCTCAGTTAGATCATTTTATTTATTTATAATGCCTGTTTATTGCTCATGTTTCATTATTTGGCTTTTGAGAGACTTAAACTTAAAAGACTATAAAGACTTCAGAGCTAATGTAAGTGTTTTTATTATTTCCAGGGATGATGATGATGATATCAAGAAAAGTCAGCCCTCTCTAGCAGATGAAAAGGAGCCTTTGGAGAGCGAAACAGACAGTATGGCCGAATATGGGGATGTTGATCCTGGCAAATTTAATGAGGATGGATCATTCATTGGTCAGTATGGTGGCAACAAAAGAGAGGGAAATTACACAGGAGAACCTGATGCAACGTCACCATCTGCCATGTCAACATTTGTATAGCTCCATCTATATCATCTCATGTCTGCTGCAGACGCTAAACACATACACCTGCCACCCCTTTTTTCCATAATCAACTAGTTCAGATTGGAACAGGATGAATCTACATGCGTGGACTTAGGGGTGGCAGGATACACCCCTCTTAAAGTGGATTGCCTCGGATCGGGAAAAAGGGGTGATAGGAAAGCAGAAAGCCATATAAGTATAGGTGCTGAGCTGTAGCAATGTAGTTTGCTATATTACAAGTAGTGCAATATAAATCACCAACCATTCAACCATGTACAAAAGTCATTATTTAAAATTGTAAACAATGTTCCATGAGTGACTTAAAAATGCAGCACTGTATTGTGTTCACAATAAGCCTGAATTAACAGAGCAACTAAACATTGATATTAAATGGCGGTTGAAATCTCAAACAGGAAGCGAAGCAGGAGACGAGAGGCATCTATATTTACATTCACCAGCATCGCTTGCAGTTGTGTGCCTGCCATAGACTTAATCACATTTCATTAATACTTTTTTGCGTACATATGTAACACCGCTTATCTACATGCTTATGAGTGTATCTTGTATATATTGCTTTGAGTGAACTCTGTATACATTAACGCTTTCTCTATAAAGCAATGGTGATACACAAATGTATGCATTGCATTACATTTAGACACATTTTAGTTGAATTAAGCCTTGTTTCTGCATTGTTAAAAAAAAGCAAAGGTTACCAAAATACTTTGAATTTGATCAGTGAACCCATACTTGTGTTTACTTTGTTTTGAATTTACATTTCAGTGAGATGTATAGCCATATATGAAGCCATAATTGTAGCTACAATAATTCTTGTATGCCTTTTAACATCAAACAATTAATTCAGTTGTCTGAATTTTCATTTCTACATCAATACAGTATATACAGTAGTGAGTATTTTATGTATTCACTGCGCTGTTGTTCTGTGCTGTAATCAGTTTCTACAGTACTTACTGTGGTGTACATTGTACTGTATTAATTTACAGTATACAGTGCAGTAATTGACTGAAATGTGCTATAGTACATTATAGTACAGCACAGCACAGTACAGAACAGTACAATACAATACAGTACAGAACTGTGCATTGTACTTTACCATGCAGTACTGTACCGTACAGTATTATATTGCTATGATTTACTACAATTATATAGCACTACCTTGTAACAATAATATTCTAATGAGAAACCTGGTCACAAAATATGTCAGGTCTTTTGCCACAAGTTTATTTTTTAAAAACCTATGATTAACTAAGACAACAATCAACATGACTAAAAATAATATGTTTCTGATTTGTTTGATTTGTTCAAGAGTATCATATTAGGAAGCAAATTGATTTAAATGATTGTAGATTGAGCAGAGAAATTGTACACTGGGCTAGAGGTGTACAATTTAATAAACACATGATTGTAGTTTGTTAGATGATGCCAAGAAATGCCAAATTAGGTAAATGACACATTTTAGTTGTTTGTTTAAATGTATATTTTAGTTGTAAAGTCTTATTATTATTATTTTATAAACTTTATTACCAGTTTATATTTTATTATGAACATTGGACATTGAACAGGTGTCATGACAAATCGCTTATGTACTGTAGCAAGCTGTAAATATATATAAAAAATATAGATGTATAGTGTATATTCATTATTCATGGTACCACCATTTACACATGCTTTTAAGTGTTCTGACACAATTGCTTTTTGACAGTGGATACAATTCTAAAGCATTGAATATCAAGATCCAACATGTATCTCAAGCCAGTAAAAAGCTGAAAATGAAATCAGTGCTCTACACAATATAGTATTTTTTGCAGTCATCTTGCCCTGATTGGCGACGTGGCATGCTGGTGAGTGCGTAGGCAGGCGCCACATAAATAAAATCTTGTTTATATGGTAATGCTAACAAGAGTAATTTCTGTTATAGCTCATCATTCAAGTAGAATGCTAATTGTACCAATTAAGTTCTACCCTAGGGTCAATCCAAATCACTTGAAATTGTTTGTTAATGGTGCAGTCTGAGGAATAATGTAAATCTGCTTTGGATTTTGTGTACAAATTACTTGGTGAAGTAGATGCAAAACACCCAGGAATGTTCTAGAATGTAGCTAGTGTGTAGGCAAACACATATTCTGATAATACTGATACTGTTATTTTATTCAATGATAAACCATGTATAGTTAATTTACAATTTCAGTATCTATGCCAGGGTGTTTGTATGTCAGACTGGGATTTCTGGACACTTTTGTATACCTATATTTATCTATTGTCCAGTCAATGCCTAGTCTTATATCGGGGGAAATACTCTCAGTTGTTCACATTAAACCAATGTGGCTAGCATAATGAACTACGTGTATCATTTCTAGAAGTTAGTTCTTAGCTTATACTCAAGTAAGAACTAGATTTCTGGATCTATGGTGCATGCACATATCTAGTATCCATATGATGCCATATTGCAGTTTAAAGTGGATAACTTTGATATCCTCCTTGTGTATAATGTATATCTGGATCTCAGTGCCCCAACATGTAAGTTGTAAATACATTGTATTTAACATGTTTGAAAGGCCACCTCCAGAATTAAATATTTGTAATATATTGCATTTGTATAATTTTATTGTGTAGTTTTTAATACACTCCCAGGCAGAAGTTTTTTAGTTAGTATTTGTGGACTTGTGAATATCAGAAGAATCATATCATTTAATCAATTTAGAATACGTAGTTTAGTGTGATGCTTTTCCCAGGACAGGTCAATACAATAGTTTGGTTTACATTTAAGTTTAGTTCTGCACATTTGCTTGGGGGTGTATTTCCTTATGTTCAGTTCAACTGATCATATATGGTCTCATTTTTATGCTGTAAACTGTACTAGGTTCTTTTTATAAAAACTATAAAACTATTGCTACATTTTATATGTCAAGGATTTATTATTTGTATTAGAATTAGTAATGCTCTTTTATTATGGTCACTCTACTCAGTATGGTATACCGTTACAATTACATACATTCGTATAGTCTCCAATAGTAATACACAATGTCTGTATGTAGGCTTACTGATTCAAATTTTATGATGCAGATTTTCATAAAACATTTCAATATTTTAAATAATGTATTTGATAATGATAGATGTATTACAGTACATTCATATTGTAAACTTTCAAAGGAAAATAAAACCTTACATATAAATTGTTAACAGTGTATTCTGTTGGAATAGCCATTTAGGATTGAATTATTGAAGACCCTGTATATTCAATAACTACATATGTTTAAGTACTTTTTAACATGGGTGAGACCATTCAACAAATCTCCAGAGAGAGATGTAATTTGGAATTTTTTGAATTTATATCAATTTTTTATCTTAGTCCAACAAATACTCCCAACACTATTAAACACTGTTCAAACTATGCAGACCAACTTAAAATATTTCAAAAAGGTCACAAATGAAATAACTTGTACCACATGATTTCTGGGTCTGTAAAAAAGCAGGTGATCAGGACTTAAAATTTTATAAGTTCATCAAAAATATAGTTAAAACTTTTTTGTGCCAAAATTAAGTTGGTCAGAAGTCCCAACAGTCCTAATAGCTATTACCAGACAGACATCTGTGTGCCATACACACATACAAAATAGCAAACAAGTGTTTAATGTACTACTTTTCCTTCACTACATCCACATCAATTCATGTGTGTTGTGTTGCGTCATTAGAATAAACCTGGTTTAGTTCAAAATACTAAGACACCTTTTTTCAACCCCAAAATCAACAAAGTAAAAAACACATTAATAAAATCAACGCCTTTAACATACGAGATATCTTCGGATCTGGCAGATACTATATCTATAAAATGAAAAAGTAAACAAGGCAATAACATGAAAAAATGTTTCCACCTGCCATTTGTTACAAGCACCAACCACCAAATGCTGTTACAGATGACAAACACCAACTATCGAACATCAGCTACAAAAATGTTGGAGACTAAAACAATATGTCACCACTTCTGATGGTGACATAAAAACATAAATAACATCTCTCATTTTAAAAATAACAGTGGGAACCAACTACCAAAACTGTGCGCTCTATCTGAATGAATGCCTCATTAACAAAACTTCACTGAAATGTTGTGTTCCTCATAATTTTTTTTTTATTTTATTTTTTTCTCATTCAGCAGTAATATTACATACATTTAATACAATATACTGTTAAGCTTGATATCCTTCTGGTTATATAAAGCATTTAATTACAATATTTTGTTATAAAATAATGGCTTGTTCACTACACTACTTCTTGCTGAATATTATGACTTGAAATATTTTTCTGATTTTAATTTAAGTGATGTCAGTATTATACACAATCCGGCTCTTAGTTGTCCTATTTCCATTCTTTGTTACAATCTCTGAGTTAGTAATCCTACACTCCTGCTCACAATCTAGAACAGATACATGTCCTGAGTTGCTCACTGTAGTCATGCTTTCAGGAACTACCACAGCTCCAAACTTGCAACGGCTAGAGGCCATTTTGGCTATCTCAGTCCATGTGTCTGTCACAGGATCATAAACCTCACAGTCTTTGAGAACTTTCCTTGCACCTCCACATCTGCCTTGATCAGAATAGGATTTGCCTTAAATTAAAGGGACATTAAGATCTTTAACTCGGTTACCTGCACATTAAATAAATAAAGTCTGACACTTGCATGAACGAAGGAAAATATTACTACCCTAAACAAATTAGTTCCTTTTAAAAATGTGATTTGTCACACTTTTGGAGCAAATTAAAAAAAATTTAACTATTTTTTCCAAAGTAACATTATAAAAATAGAACAAAAAATTGTGATGAAAAGGTTCATTTCAACAAAACCTTAAAATGAGAGGAGATAACTTTTATGTACCTCCAATGACATATATCTTGCCATCCATGACAAGTGCCTGGTGATCTGTCCTGTACCTATGCATGCTTGACACTAACATCCATGTATTGGCTTGAGGGTCATATACTTCCACCGTCTTTGATCTCTTGGTACCATCAAACCCTCCAATTGCATAAATCTTGCCATCTGCAATAAATATACATTGCACATTGAAATCATGCATGATTTAAGAATTTGCCTCATAAATCGCAAAATAACCTTTTGCAACATTTCAAACTCTTTGAAACTTTAATTCATCTTTTTCAGAGAACCATTAATAAGGAGATGTAAGTGACCCATGTCCATGGAGTTTATTTTAAGAAGTACATTATACAGATGAGAAGATTTGTTAAATCATTTAATTTATATATCCTTATATAATTCTCATACTTAGCTCTACAGCTTGGAAAGTGGTCCTCACATAATTCATTCTAGAGCACCTTGCCCAAGATTGATCACCCATAGTATAACTGAAAAATATTTAATCACTAATGTTTACATGAAACAGTTACATGAAATAGTAATTTTCAGTTTGACATTTTACCAACAATGTTGTAGCAAGGTCTAAGACAAAATCATAAGAAAATCTGGGGAATGTTCAATCGACATGATTGACAGAAAATGAAATTTCCCAACTAATAAGAGCAAAAAAGTGAAGAATGTCAAAATTCTAATTAATTTCAATATGCTCCCCCAGAGCGATTATATGTTACCCCAGAGAGGGATTATATGCTCCCAAGAGGGATTATGCACAGCCAATCTCCAACGGTACAGTACAGTACCATATTCTTAAATGTACCATACAGTACCATAAAAATGGTACCATAGGGTGCCGTATATAGTACCATAAGGTACCGTGATTTCAGAGTGCAGATTGGTTTTTTTATGTTCCCACCTGGCCAGAAAGGGATTACATGCTCCCCAGAGAAGGATTATATATTCAGCTTGTCATTCAAAGGTCAAATTTGACTAATTTTGAAGAGCTCATCTTTCAATTGTTTTTTACCTTTGAGTATCACTTGCAGGGACACTAACACATGATGAATATTTCATCTCTCCTCCAATCACGTAAATCTTGCCTTGACATTTGACAAGCTGACAGTTCAAAAACTTAACTCTTCCATCAGATTCCCACTCTGGAAGATCCATTGTGAAAATTGGTAACTTTTCCTTGTATGT